ACAAGACAAAAAAAGGTTTACTCTACTAACACATAAGAAGTCTGAGTAGTCCTCTTAAATAAAGCCTACATACATAATCCATAGGTTTTTATCTAAACATACTTTTTAAAGACCTTATTTCTCTGTACTAACTGGCTGGATGTTTATCAGATGTGATTGGATTTAACAAGATATCCACCTTCTCTAGCATCTAAGTACCTTGAAGACTGGCATCAAGGACCTTCTATGAGGGGAGAAAACAGAAAGAAAGAAGACGACTAAAATATTTTAGAAGTGTGTCCTCCAAAATACTTCAAATTAATCTTATAAAGCCTTCATTAAGCATTTAAACTATGCAAACTCATAGCATTTCAATTTATGAAGTGATAATGGATTAAAAGGGAATAAGGTATTTAACAGCAGCAAAAAAAATTAGCCTATTACAAAAAATAGATGTAAATTATGTCTCTTTGAAAAAAAAAAAAATTTAGACACAAACCCAAGAGCACTCTCAAATTCAGTAACAGCAACACTTAAAAAACTCTGTAATAAAAAAACGTAGTGTGGAACAAACGTAAGCTTCAGAATGGAGTACTGGGTGGAATCACAAATACATTCACAAACGTTAATGGTCTAGGTTGTGTTTAGTGCAATGCAAATTGACAAAGACCAGAAACAAGAAATCCTCAAACTCTAAAAATCAATAACAGAGACTTATTTTTGTCACACAAAAGATGAGAAGGCAAAAAGGAATTATTGGTGAGTTATGCTCCATTAGTTGCAAATCTAGGTGAAATAACCCTTTCTGTTTGCTTCTAAAAATGTCATCCTGGATGCCATTTTCAAGGGATTCAGTCTGACGTTAAAAGGCATGACATAACTTTGAGGATCCAGGCTCCAGTGTCCCAGAAATCTGTTTATATAGCCCATAATGTAATTACAGCTACCTTAAGACAGATGAGGCAGAAGGCAGCGATATATTGAAAACTAATTGAAAAATGCAGTTGTCCAGAAGCACTTGTGGGGAAGAGGTCTCTGAAAAGCTGCTCAAAGCTTCAGAGTTTGAAGTGAAATTTTTGATGTTGTCACTCTCAATCTATTGAAGAGCTGACGGACAATCAAACCCGTCTGGCTGGTTGGCAGCTCATTTTGCTGGCAGGTGGCAAACAATTAGACACACCAATTTGTGCCTCCTGATGACATTAAAGCATGAAACTAAGTTGTATGCAGGGCCTAGTGATTTGTGTGAAAGCATTTCAAAAATAATACTCTTTGCCGTGGCAACTCATTTCAGACTGCCACCTCCCATTACGGCTTTGAGCAGTGAAGACGACAGACTTGAGTTACGTGCGGTGCAAGGCCGCTTCTGTTCAATCCGTCATCAGCGCCCCCCGAGACCTCAATCCCCTCCTTTCATCAATATCACCTCATCATTTACATTCGATAGTACTTGAACTGCTGCATACATTAACTACACACAAGTCCTGTTTGATAAAACATGTTGGACACATTTTCTGCTTTTATATTTCATTTATAACTGCAGAAATTCTATGAAAGAATAGCCTATTACACAATGAATCTTGAATATATTAGTAGTGTACAATTAAAGGAACATGGAGAGCAATACACATAATATTAATGATAATTAGAATTCTTGACTTCAATTCCGTTTACAGGAAAGCACAGTTTGATTCATATGGCATTTACGTGCATATAAGATCAGTGATTATATTTAAAGAAATACCTTTAAAACAAGAAAGATACTGTTATTTTTCAACTAATTACTTACTACCTCAAGTCTTCTTTTACAAGGCACTCAGCCATCCAAATGCAAAACTAAAATAAAAAAGTGGCCTCACAACAACTAAGAATATCTTTTGATTAAAATGAAAAATACAATTCTCTAACCTCGATTTGTGTATAAATATGGAATCACAGTGGATGTTTTATAAAACTGAAACAAATAAAACCTGACAAAACAATACACTCCATTGCTCATGATTCTCCCCAGAGAGAATAACCATGACGAATAGCCACATTGCTCAGTGAAGTACCAAAAGCTGCAGGAACAGAAAATCCTACAGAAATATGGTACACAGGCATAGTTGGGTTTTAAAAAATATGCGTATATTGTATACGTATAGTGTATATTATTGTATAGTGTATATTATATAATTGCTACTTTATAAGACAATTATATCTACATGAACCAATATAGAAAAATAATCATGCTGTAATTTTGTCAGTTCTTTGGGATTGGGATACTATAGGCAACATGTTCATAAACTACCACAAGCTAAAATTCATGTTGCTTTCTCAATTAATGTTTTAATCAGTTCTAATATTATTTCAATATACTATTGAATGTTTTCCCCTCTAATCGTTGTTTCAACCACATGAGAAATTCTAGGGTCAGGATCTCAATCTGCTCCTCCTCCATAATTTGAAAAAGAAACATGACACCACCACTCATCTTTTGCTCTAAAGATTGCCACACTGGTCAAGTAAGTACTTTGAAAATCTGAACAGACTGCACAGAGAAGTATTTGCCTGAACAATGGTCATTATTCATGTAGCCATGAGGTGCAACCAAACAGTTGAGGTCCTGTGGGCTAAGAACATCAGCATTGTTATCAAGATGCCCACAGTTCAATAACATCCATTTAGTTGGAGGAAATAATTTAACACTTCCTGATCTGGTTGGGACCTGCCTGAACCTGCCATTTTTCCCCTCAGAGTTGTTGGTTATATAAAAAAGCATGATCTATTTCACTCACCAAAATCAGATAGCAGGATCATCTACTTAAGAGAAACAAAATATCCCAACAACATTTATGTAAATGAGTCTTCTTTTGCCTAGACTTCAACCATTGCCACCTTTTTTTTCCTGAAGAAGTAAACAATGCTGAGGGCTGACATGGTACAACATATGCTACCAAGATTCAGTGTACGCAGCTGTACTCTTTGTACAGGAGATCATGGATTCACAACTTGGTCAGAAGGGTACCACGAGGGGGAAACCTCCCTCCACTAAAATCCTCTAGCTCCTAAGCAAACTTATTAAGTATGAAATGCCTGTCAAAATCTGTAAGCTCTAGACATGAAGCACCTCTCAAATAATTCCACAATTCTGTACTAGTGACTATGAGTAATGATCAAAATGTAAAAGCAGTCACATTGTTGCAAGAAGAGTCTAATGGAGGTGCTCACAGTAAATACAGGTTGTGGCCAACCTACTGCAGACCTTTAGGGTTTTCAATACTTTTTTACAAAGCTGTAATTTAGAAATGAAGAATAAAACTCATCTCCAATCACTTTGATGCCAAGCTACCTCTAACAATGACAAAGACATCTCATGAAGTGATAGGATGCATTTTAATTTACATCTAGCACTTTGTGAATTGACAACAACTCTCTGAATTAAGTAATTTTCTTAATTGAACCAGGTAGAAATTTAGCTGAATAGGTTCAACTAAAGCACCCTATCGGTGCTTACAGTTAGGTGCTATTATTTCTACACACAGCACAGATTTTTGTATTGTTTAATGTACAAGAACGCATTCTGGAACACAATTGTTCCTCACAGAAGATAAATTCTTAACTATAGTAAAAAAAAATAAATTTTCATTTCATATTGAAATCACTCTAAAAATCAAAACTTGCAGATTGATAAACAAAAAAAATATCTGCATTATGACTCAGTTGCTAAATGGGCTTTCTCTGGAATGGCCTTAAGACCTAAAATACTACTAGAAAGGTTCAGTGCTTCTAAAGTACATTTTACTTTTCCTGTCCTGATCCAATCTTCTTTGTTACAGCAGAGACTATCTGATTGTTTATTGAATTATTTCATAAAAGGAGCCTCAGTACTAATATACATGTACAGAAAAGAAAACATAAGCTTTTCTGGGGAATTCATAATGAAAAAGTGATTCTTCACCTTTATTCTAAAATTCTCATGTATCTTTTTGCACTTTACATTACACTGAAAACATTGGTTGCATATTGTTTTTAAGACTTTCATGAAGACATTTTTGTAGGATTTCTGCAAACGCAGATGGTTTTATCTCAGAAATCACAACATAGCCATTTTTTTGTTTTATTTTTTATTTCCTGCAGAATTTTAATGCCTGTACTTGCATGACGAAATAATATATTTCTACAAGTTTGCTTAAAATTAAAATTTTACCATATCTTTGAGTTAACTTTTGATTCCATTTATTACTTTTTCAAAATATTTTGATGAAGAAACTGCAGAGATCTTGTCACACTGGAAAATGTAACCAAGTCAACACTCACAAAAGTTAGCTTTTTGCACTGGTTAAAACTAAATCCACAAAAGGTCAAGTTATCCTTCTTCTGAAAGGACATTGTCAACTGTACAGTTTATCATAACTTCTATGTTGAGGATAACTGAGATGGATTGGACATTTAAAGAAAAGTATATTCATTAGAAACTGGTAAGTTACAGCCTAAAAAGAGAAACAAAGATGAGACTGTGGAAATGTTCAGCAGTTTATTTTTAAACACTAACTTTTGAGCGTATTGGCTGTTTAAAGCCCTAAAATGGAACTGGTTTCCACCACGTCCTTGTAAACAATCTGCCATGGTTGAAATACCAAAACCAGTGCAATAGTGGATCCAATTAAGACTTAAACCTTTGAAAGAAGATTCAACTGAATTTCTGCACAGTCTGTTTTATATCAGGAGGTATTACCACTCCTCCTCACTAAAATGCTGTTTTAAAGGAAAAAAGATTTTACTGCAGAAATATTTCTTTACAACAGGCTTGTTTTCCAAGTACCTCGTAGAGTTTTATTCACTGCTGACAGAGAAAAACAAGGGAAATTACTTTTGTCTATACTATATGGTCCATTTCAGTAACACAGAAAAGGAGAAGTAACACAGCTGTTTTTTAACAGTCTAATACAAACCAATAGAAGAATAAGCAAGTTTAAAAAAGAAAACTCCTTAAAACTTCTGAATTACATTAATGTAAAATAATGAATCCAGCCATGTACCTGTCAAATGAGTGAAACTGCATGGGAAGAATAGCCTGAGCTTCTCTCTTCAGTGCAGGATCTGGGTAAGGGATCGGATCCGGACCACATTCTGCAATTTCCACAGGGGCTGCCACAAGACTTTTCAGTATTTCCTTGACATTGATGCCTTTACTTTGGCTGATACTGGATATCGATGATGCAGGTTTCAGGATTTCACTGGGGCTTTCTGTTAAGCTCTCCTGAGATTTCTTCACTTCCGAAGACAAAGTAGACAACAGCTCACTCATAGCATCAGGGCCTGTGCTGGTCTCCAAGTCTGTCCCATTCAAAATACTGGGCATCTGTTCATCTCCAATTCCAGAATCTGTATGAGGAATAGAGCTTTCCAGCTGAATATCTTCAACTGGTGTTGGTGTTTCTTTATCTTTGATATTTTCTGGAAACACAGTTGGTGTCTCTGCAATGAAATACAGATTATGAACAATATTTATAACTTAGTTTGACGTTTTTTCCTAAAAATATAATGATGGGTTTTATGAGACAGAAATGCATTAGAAAGCCCACAAATCTTAGTAGTTTAAACCTTAAAAACTCATTTTACATACAAAATATTTTGCTTTCAACAGCTGTTTGGCATTTATAAAGGCTTGGAAGAGGGAACCCAAAGTTGTATTAGGCAAGCTCAGTGACATTTAGAAATTACAGACCACTACTCACACAGTAATCAAATACCAAAATACTGCCAGCAAAGCCAACATCAAAAATTATAACCTATAGACTGCATATCTGTATAATCTGTGAGACTATGGGAAGAGAAAAATGCTTTAGGATTACTATAAAATTTAGCCTTTTATGTCTGTCTGGCAGCAAATATTAAGCTTGCATTCAAGAGAAAACTGTTAGACCTTTTTTTTTGCTTTGTCTTTTGTTTGAAGTATGTATTATAAATTTTTAGACACATATTACATTGAATACAAACTTATTTATACATGAATAAAATGATTAAGTGTTATTGTTGATTCTTTAGATAACTCCTCATTCCCTACAAAACGTAAAATTCTGCAATTCTTTCAGGCAAATATTAAGGACAAATTAAACACAACTTTATAGAGCCTGGCAAGTGAAATCTGTTGAGTTTGGAACATTTCCAGATTGAAATGGACTCTACAACATCTTGTAACCGAGAAAAGCATCCCTCTATTAATTACTTCACTGAAACAGACACAATTCATTAAACAAGAATAATTTGCTATGCTGAGTGAAAAGTTAGCTAGATTTGTGAATAAGTTCCATATTTATCTTTTTGGCTACATTTTTTTAGAGCAACACACTAGTGCTATTTTTAATGAAAAAAAATGCACTGAAACTGATTTTTCAATTTATTTTCAAACTAATTTCATTGGATCATTCATCTTGATTATAAAATATAGCTGGCCTGTGTATGAAATGGGAATACAGTTTTTTGGGGTTTGGGTTTGTTTTTGGTTTTTTTTTTTTTTTGATGGTTCCAATATAGCAGTTTAGACATTATAGAAAATATTTTACAACATACCTAAATGAAGCTCTGCCCTTCTGACTTCTCCAAACAAAATGTGCTTCAGCAATGTAACTTTAATAAAAATTACATAACTTATTGCCAATTGTTTGATAGCGTCAGGTATAAAATATTTACTTATTTACGACATGAGCATAACTGTGCATGTATGCACATCCACATAAAAAACTCTGTATGAGATCAAGTGCATGATTTAAGTGTTTCAACTAATACTAGTGTAAACCTCTTCAAGTGTACAAGTATTAACAGATATAGACAGAACAAAAGAGGCTTTTAAAAATACAAAGCAGAATAAACCATTATAAGGAGTATTGTTTTCTTCTTTTAACAACCATAAATGCTGAAGCCACTTCCTTCTTCTCGTAAGTGCCTTAAGCACATCTTATCAAATAGATATGAGCCTTGCTTTGTGAAGCAGGAACTAGAAACTGGATTTATGAGCTGCATAAAATGCACTTAGCATCTGCCAGGTCAGGAAGTAGAAAAATCCATATCTACTTAGTACAGCCTATATTTGGCAAAGAAGGACATCTGATCCACAGAATGAACCTAATGAATTTTCTGCTTGTTTTGTCCTTTAAACTTCATCCATACAAAGACAACACTTCTCAGCTGAAGGGAAGAGCAGGACCAGACTGCGAGTCAAGCAGAGTGTTGCCCTTGTAATGAATAGTAAGTAAAATAGGCGAAGGCTTCATTATTATGTAAATGAGAAGAAGACACTGAAAGAAAAAGATGGTCCACTACATGGTGAAGTTAGAGTACACCTAACCTCAATTTTCATTAAGGTCAACAATGCTGAACACAAAACTAAAGACAGGAAAGCTAATAGAATTACGGTTGTGGAAATTCAAATAAAACCAGAAAGATTTTAATATATTAAAATCATGGGAACTAACTGACTCCAAGCCAAGTTTGAAGGAAAAGGTCTATGAAGATATTGATCTAGTAGCACGTATTTGTGCCAAACAGGTAAGTGGAGATAGCACCATACATCACAGAAGTGAACCACACATTCTTCTCATTCTAAGAAGAGGGAAAAATGATCTGGACAACTACAAGCCTTCAATAGTAAGCAAGATTTCAGCATTTATTTTGGAGTAAAGAATAGTAATGGAATGGAATGAGAGAGATTACAAAATGCCTTTGCTAAAAAAGCTTTTAAAATATTTATTGCTACAAGAAAATAAGGGCTAACGTAATAAAATTCAGTAAAGTTGGGGTTGTCACAACAGAGAGTAATTTAGTCAGGAGAACCTGGAAGTTAACAGAGGGTGGGAAAAGAAACTGGCTAAGAAGGAGCCATCAAATAGTTTCAAAAGAAAAAAAATCAAACTGAGGAAAACTACAAGGGGAGTTACCTCATTTACAATTTTAATAAAGATTTCAGGTGAAAAAATGAAAATATTCTGGTGCAATTTGCTGATGACAAAGTTACAAGGTATAGTTGATACACAGAAGGATGATTTTAAGAAGGCATTATGACAGAACTGCAAATTACATTTATAGTGAAAAGCTCTGCATCCAGTGACTAACAGAGATCCCCATTATAACTGGAATTCACCAGCTGAAGAGAAGGACCTGGATACATCAATCACTGGTTACTAATATGACACTGCCATGGAAAAGGCAAATTTGACTCCAAACTCTTCTGAAGCAATAGCTCCTGTAACAGTTAAGTATTAATGGCATTAGGGAAGGCCATTTGGTAGGGTTCATTACAGAATACTGTGTATGCTGCTGTATTTCAGGAAGATGGAAGTGCCACTATGGAGATCCACAGTGATCAACTGGTGCAGAAAAAAGGATTTGGCATATATAGTCTGGCCAAACTAATACTGAGAGGGTATACAATAGCTATTATACATGTATTTTCAGGATGCAAACTCCAGAAAAAGGATCTAAGCTAAATGGAAGAGGTGGCATGTGAAAAATTGTTTGGAAACTCACAAGGAATAGATTTAGATTGAGAAGTGACAGCCCTCACTATGGAATTAAGGTTCTGAAACAGCCTTCCAGTTACAGTAGCAAGTTCAAAAATCAGTACTAATTTCAACACTCTATAAATAGGGCTGTAGTTAATTAGTCTGCAGGTGCCTTGTAATCCTTTGTTCCCAAATAAGATTAAAATGCCTAGAGGATTGCACCATTTGAAGATAAAAATGGAAGAAAAATTAAATTTGTGGATATAGAATTTTGATATGACACACTATACAATACCTAACACTAATTAAAATTATTTAGGAAAAAATATCAAGGGAAGTTATTCTATATGCAGGTAGGTGTATGAATACTTTATTTCCACAGAAACCAGACTTGTACATTTACTTTTCTTACTGTGTCTTGAGTATCTAGAATACACTGCAGGAAGTCAATTAAGTTTAGTCTGATTTACCACCATGAATACCAGCCTTGAAAAACTACTGAAATCCAATGTTTTAACTCTTGCTTTTTAATCATCAAACACAATAAATGAATAAGGGATTAAATGTCCAACTTACTTTTTGTAAATCAAAGGAAAATATATTCAGGACAGATAAAAACGACTAATAATTACTTCTCAAATAGGAATACTAGTAAACTAGGATTTGTGAAATTCAGATAAATATGTCTGAAAAGACATATTATAAGACCTTCTAGATCAGCATGATTATTAGTATTATTTTAGGTAAATTATAAATTCCTGAGCATAGGTCACAAAAAACCAATCAACTATTATTACAATACTGCATATTCACAAGTTTTATTCTATGTTCATTTATATGGTGTCATAGCACTTCTGTACCCTTCAGAATTCAGGAATAAAGAATCAGTACCGAATACTGATTCATAGTATTATTTACTAAAAATCTGATACCATTAATGTATATGCTTTCAGAAAAATCTAAAATACTTAAAACAACTTAGCAAAATGATAAACATGAACAGAAGCAAAAATATAATTGCATCTGCCTATGTTATAACATTGTGACAGTAAGCCTGTAAATTTTCAGCAAACCTCATCAGTTTTCTGCAGCACAAGGCCATGTCAGTAGACAAAGCAGAAACATTACTAGACCTAGCAATCTTAACCCTGTCAGAAACAGACAGTTGGAAGCCAGATGCCTCCTCCTTACTGTTTTTCATTGTACCTAATGAGTTCATCTACTACATTATGGGAAAAATATGGGCTTAAGTTAACTAAATGACATATTGTATATCTAGTGACCTCATCTGTCACACTCCTTCCCTAAAATATCTTGTTTGCTTCTGATTTATGAAGTGTATTGTAATTATTTTAACCTACTGAGTTACCTAAATAGTTCTTACACTACTTCCAAGTGCCTAAAAATACAACACCCCACTCCCATGTTTAATACCTAAATAATGAGACATTTCATGTCTGTGGTAAATATATAAATTTTTGAAGAAAAAGACAACACAAAATATTCTACTTTTAAAATTTATTTACTCTGAAAAAAGGGAAAATTGTATGTATATTCTTACTTTTTTCTTTTTCATTTGATTAAACCCCCCTACCAGATGAAAGTCAGCTGAAAATTTTCAGAAGTAAAAAAAGTATGAAAATTATGACTTTTAACTGCTTACAATATGACTGAAAATCTATTTGAAGGTCACTCTATCCCAAATCAGCATCAAATTTCTCCTGCAAACAATATAGCAACATTTGATAAAGGAAGGTTTGGGGCAATCTTGATATAGGACTTGTTTCCAGGTTTCAGTCTGTGTGTGAACTGGAAAATTTAGGCGTTGTTTTCTGTGTAGCTATCTTAAGCACTGATAATAAACTTCTTAGCTGCCTTTTATAGAACCCTTTGCAATATTCTACAAACTTCCAGGGATGGTACACTACATGCTGAAAATGCTTTCAATCCAAACAGGAAGTGATAATATAGTTTCCT